GGGGCACCCGGGGTGCGAGCGGGGCGGGGGTGCGGGGGTGCGGGGCGCCAGGCTCCTGTCGGCTCGGCAGCACGCATGCCAGGCTCTCCCTGCCAGCCCCTCTTCCCCCGGGGTCCCTGGGACGTGTTTGCTAAACTGAACGGAGATGCTTTCCTGCCGTCTGCGGGCAGGACGCCCCTTGCCTGGGCCCTCTGGAGAGCCGGCCTGCACGTGCCCGCCCAGTGCGCACAGGTGGGCGCAGGTTCCGGAACCAGGAATGGGACGTTCGCGACTGACCTGGCCGTCAGGGGGCGTGCTGGTCTGGGGAACCGACAGGGAGCTAAGCCTGAACCCAGGGCCAGGCCCGGCCTCCCCGGCTCTTCCTCGGGAGGTGTCCTGGGCAGGAGGTGACCGCTCGTCTCTCCCTGCCCCCTCCATCGCTGCCGGTAGCTTGCTTGGCTCAGGAACCAGCGAAGAGAATAAAGAAAACGACCTCAGACCGCCCTTACCTCAGTCTTACGCCGCGACAGTAGCCAGGCCGAGTGCGTCCGCAGCCTCCACCGTGCCAGGTGAGCGGCTCGCGGGGGCCTGGGTGAGCACAGTCCCAGGTGAGCGGCCCGCGGGGGCCTGGGTGAGCACCGTGCCAGGTGAGGCGCGGCCCCAGACCGAGGCCTGAGATCAGCCCCCCAGCGTCTCTCACACTTAACTGCCGCTCTGCAGGTTACTCCGAGGACGGCGGGGCGCTCCGCGGCGAGGTCATTCCCGAACACGAGTTTGCCACGGGACCGGTGTGTCTGGACGACGAGAACGAGTTCCCTCCTGTGAGCACTGGCCGCCCCTAGAGCTCGGTCCCTGCGCCTGGACGGGCCCTCCCCTCCGCCCGCGGCGGAGCCTCTGCCCTGTTGTCTGGGCCGCACCACCTAATCCTGCCCGGACACCCGGGAGGCCAGCGGGGTTTAGCCTGCGATGGGCCTCTGCACCCAGACCAGCCCACCCACGTGTTAGGACGGCACATTGTCACCCAGGGGGTCTCTCGGCTTCCGGGTTCAGAGACTCAGGCCGCAGTTCTGCTTCTTTAGCTGTGTTCGCTGCTCAAGACCCCTCTAATTAACGGCCGCATGTCAGTGGGGACCTCCCCCACCCCCGGCCCCTCTAGCCCGGCCGCCCGCGATCCTGCTTCAGCCCTGCCGGCAGCGAGGGCCCAAGGCTGGGCTGGGCGCTGGGCATGGCTCCTTCTCACACCTTGGGGTGAGGAGAAGCTTGTCCCCTGGTTCTGATCCTTCAAGCTTCTGTTTGGGGCAGCAGAGACCCCCTCTTGTGAGCTCTAGTTAGAGAGGAGCCTGGACAGTCACCTTGGAATCATCTCGAGATGGAAGCAGTGTTTAGGCCTAAACGTGGGGGCTCCCTGACCGTCCCTCCCGAGGCAGAGAGAGGGAGCCACTGGGGCACAGGTCTTGGGGTACGGTGTTTCCTCTCGGTGGTGATTTCGTGTCAGTTGGATTCCGTTCACAAAAGGATGGAGTCTGGGTCTGGCTTCTCTCTTGCCTAGATCTGTAGGACAGTCTGGTAAGCAGAGGAGAGAAAGGGAGGGGGGTTCCCTGGTGGTCCAGTGGTTAAAACTCCACGCTTTTCATGCAGGGGTGCAGGTGTGATCCCTGGTCAAGGAATTAAGACCTCACATGCCTTGTTACGGCCAAAAAAACCAAAAAGCTGCCATGGGCCCTTCATGCGGGGGCAGAAAGGTCACATTCGTCATTTCCCAAAAGGCTCCACGGGGTGCTGCGTGAGACAAACATTTCTGGCTTTTTATAGATTGTCACACACAGTGCCAACAAGTGAAGTTGACATTTCAGGGGTGGAAAGCAGTCATCGTTAAAACTGTGCATTTAAAAACATTTGTTGGCTCAACGCCTCCCAAGGGGGCAGTTGTTTTGCTTTGGGAGGGTCTCTCACCCCTCCTCACTACAGAGGGAGCTTTTCTGTCCCCCAAAACTTGACATCTGGGTCCTGACGTTGCATCCTCGGGACCCAGAGCAGGTCAGACGCAGTGGCTTATGGGACCTTCCTACTCGTCATCAGATCCCACTTCAGCAGTTGTAAAAGTCTGAGGCTGCTCTAAAAGATGATTGGATTGTGAGACTCTCAGCTGTAATCAGAGGAACCTCTTATATTTACAGAACCGGGTTACCTTGGTTATTGGCATTCAGAGGTGATCTCTTGCCACAGAAAACCTGTATCAAATTAAAGGTACCCCATGTTATTTGGTGTACCTGTTGTTTGATACATCATTTGGAGTAAAAAAAAAACTGGAGATGCTTAAGAACTAGGGATAAAATGGGATGCCTGTCTGCTTAGGCAATGCCAGGGAGCCTGGGAGGAGCCTGTCGTCCCATCTCCCGCGTCAGGTCCAGATGAGTGGAAGCTGCTTTAAATTGCGTCGGGGCTTCTTATTTACACGAGTGCGAGTGTCCGTCACCGAGAGAGGCCCCCTGGAATCCTCGTCAGGCCCTAGTGATCCTGAAGCAGCCCCTGAAACTGTGCAGTGACAGCGGGAGGGCTCGTGGGGGCCCTCGGACCCCAGCCCTGCCCTGAGGCTGCAGGCACAGCGACGGATAACGCGTGCAGGCTTCTCCGTCTCGGCCACGAGGGTCAGAGGCCTGGGATGTTATCACCAGAGGGACTGTCTCAGTCACGCCCTCACTGGCTGTCATCATCCCCGGAGAGTGTAGACATTCCTCTCTCTGCCTGTCCTGAAGTGCCAGGCCCATTACAAACACCGGCCCAGAAGTCTCATCTCTACCCACATTCCTAAAGGCACTCCAGGATCCTGACGAATCTTGGGGTCTCAGCAGCTCATAGACAAGAGCAGAGGTTTGCCCGGATAATCCCGAGGGGTCCCTGTGTCGTCACTGCTGATCTGGAGTGGGTACCATCCGTCTTCCCTCCTTGGGATTTTCTTTGCTCCGAACACAGTGAGAGAAAAGAGGACTGATCATTTCTGGTCCCTGGAAAGATGCTGTATTCGGGAAGGGAGCAGCTTTGGGTCAGTAACAAGTCGACCTTGGCAAGTCTGCTTATTTTCTGACATTCGTCTTACTCTTGGGAGTAGGAGTGAAGGAACTGGGACCAAGGGTGTTTATTGACTTCTTCACAGTGACTTAGCTGTCTGTGTTTACAAGTAAGATGCGCCTTTAAAGAAAATACACATATTCATATCAATATGCATGTATATTCTGGGCTTCCCCGGTGGCTCAGACGGTAAAAAAAAATCAGCTTACAGTGCAGGAGACCTGGTTCGATCCCTGGGTTGGAAAGAACCCCTGGAGGAGGAAATGGCAACCTACTCCAGTATTCCTTCCTGGAGAATCCCATGGACAGAGGAGCCTGGTGGGCTATAGTCTGTGGGGTCACACAGAGTCAGATGACCGAACATGCACACACTCGCAAACATACATATACATATTTTACAAATAGTATTTTCTGCATCTAAAGAAGACAGGTGACCCCTGTGGCCACACACAAGGGTCGGTCTGTGGACTGACGGACGGATGGGGAACCTCCGCCGGCCCCGCGTGGACACTGACCCACCGACATGCCCCCCGCCGGCCTGCCCAGAAAGGGTAAGGCCGCTCTGTTTTGATTTCGGCAGATCACCTCGTGCCGTGGAGATCAGCAGGACAAGGCCGCGCCGTCCTGACGGGCAGCAGGACCGCCCCGGTCAGGAGGTTCTGGAGCAAACGAGGAAGGTGGACGAAAGGCAGGCGGCTGAGTGAGCAGCACCGGGGGTCAGAACCCCCGGGGACGCAGTTCTCGCCGGGCGAGCTCCTCTCAGCTGGCGGGCGCGGGGGCCGGCGTGCACCCACGTCCTGCCCTGGAAAGCGTGTCCCAGCCGCAGCGTCCACGTGAACAAACCGTATCCATCGACAACCCGAATTTTACATTAGCAAGGGCATCCTTTTGAACATGTATGCTGTGTATAAAATGTACCTATAGAACACCTCTCAGAACTGTATTCCTTGTATGTGACTCAAGAGAGGCTGTTGTCGCCAGGCAAAAGATGTTTGCAGTGATCGGAATAAATCATTTATGACCTTTCAGTCCCATTTAGGACACTAATAAAATAATCATGGCAATACACTTGAGGCTTTAAAATTTTACTTCTTTGTGGTTTGAGGAAGCAGGAAGCATTCCTAAAATCTACAAAGCACAGACATTTGCCTGTCGAAGGGGATGGAGGGAGGTGGGGGAGCTTCTGTGGCTCTTCCGCTCGGAGACAAGCGACCTACGTCAGGTTTGCGTCCACACTGCCCCAGCGTCCGTGGGGGCGCTTCCCGGCCCCGGGGCACCTCCGGTCCGCACCCCGCCGCCTGGGCGGGTCAGCAGGGTCATCAGCTCCCAGGTGGTCTGCGGGCGCAGGAAAGGCGGGGCGGGAGGGCCGGGCCTCCGCCCAGAGGACCAGCCAAACGGGGTCCATTTCCGCGCTGCTCGGGGTCACGTCCTGTGCCGGGCAGGCATCTTCACGTCTCGCCTGGTGCTCCCTCGGCGGCAGCCTGCGAGTCCGGCTACATAATCGCCCAAGTCCAGGGGCTGGTCTGACTCCTGACTCCAAAGCCCCGGCGTCTTTGCTCACAGCGCGGGTGCGGCGCGCTCTCAAACGGGGACGCAGAGCGCTGGCGGCAACACAGCCCTGAGCCTGGTCTTCAGAGCGCACGGGGCCGCGGGGGCAGGGACCGCGGCGTCCCGGTGCAGGCGCCGCTCACGCGGCCGGGCAGCGGCAGGCGGGGCGGCGGGGGTCGCAGCAGGGACGCGCGGAGGGATCCTGGCTGTAATCCGCCCGGGACACGCGGTCCCGGGCGATGTCGTCCAGCGCGCCCGCGAGAGCCGCCGCGACCCTGGGCAGCACCGCCCGGTACTGCGCGCCGCCCTCGGCCAGGGGCGCGGCCTCCGCGAGGTCAGCTTCCAGGTCGAAGATGAGAGGGCGCTCGTGGCGCCGCTCGGGGCCGACGCTCCCGTCGCAGGCTCGGGCTCCGCCTGGGGAGGGGACGGCAGAGACCCCGTCAACCCATCGTCGGCCCCAGGTGTGCAGAGCACCGCGGCGAATTCTGAGTGGTAACTGGTGTGAGCCCTGAACCGGCGTGCAGCGGAGAGACCGTTCACCCACACTACAAGTCTGAAGGGCTCAGCCGGGAACGCACGTGGAGCTCACGGTGTGAATGCTACTAAGCTAGACAGGCCTGATAAACACTTCGTTTTCCACTAAAGTCCTTAAATGTTTATGCTAGGAGCGAAGACTATGGCCCAGGATGAAGGCATTTACCTACGATTGAAGACAAACTTCAACAGAGCCCACTCCTAACAAAGTATAAAAGCCAGCCTCCTCCAGTTTAAGGAGATTAGCTGATAATTAACAGCCCGTGAGGGGGCTTCCCTGCTGGCTCAGGGTAAAGAATCCCCTTTTCAATGCAGAAGGCTTGGGTTTGATCCCTCGGTGGGGAAGATTCTCTGGAGTCGGTAATGGCAACCCACACCAGTATTCTTGCTTGGAGAACCCCATGGACAGGGAATCCTGGTGGGCTGCAGTCCATGGGGGTCACAAAAGAGAGTCACGCATGACAACGACAAAACAACAACCTAGTTCACCTAAAAATCTCGTCCTCATCACAGGACACATAGGTCTTTCTCTGGTCTAATGTAGCAGGTGTCAATTCATCTCACTCATCGAAAAGCAGGTTTAAGTCGTTCGGACGCAGAGTTTCAAGGATGAGGGTGAGAGAAGGATTCAGAGCTCCCTCGGGCTGTGTCCTCTTTTATCCTGTTCACAATTTTCACCCCATCTGTTGACATCTCCCTTCTCCCTTTGCTAACTCTCTTGGGAGTTGGGTGACTGCAGAGAAGAGCAGACCTCCCCTGGGTGTCATCATTCCTTTCTGCTTGTGATCATTTCCAACAGTCTTATTACGTCGTATGATCCCAGCATTGTGGTACCAAGGCCTTTCTGGCTGGGTCCCGACTTCTGAAATTAACTCAGCCTGGAGAAACCATACCTCTTCGATAGAGTAATGTAAGGGCTGTAATCTAGACGCTTCCCATCTGAAAGCATAACAAATATCTGACTGGTTTGCATTTTAGGTCTCGGAGAGTCGCACATTCTTGTGGCAGTTTTAATATTCCTCAAGTGATGAACTCAAAGAACTGGTTTTGCTTTTGTGACACATTTTCTTTGGGGTCACTTATTCATGCTCAAGGCAAATAATGTTTGTTCTTTATTATATAATTCTTTGGAAAGCTGTGACCTCAAATAACTGAATCAAACTGGAATCCATATCATATCCCATATTTGGAAGGATTTTTTTTTTTTTTTGCATGGGCTGGGGAGAGGTCTTGTTTTTCATTCATTACAAAAAAGTGTTAGAGTTCCTACCAGATCCAAGGTTCTGTGTGAAGCACATCAAGAGGACAGAGATTAAAGAGCTGACAGAGCTGAGGTTGTGCTCAGACGCTCAGTCGCGTCCGACTCCTTGCGACCCCATGGACTGTAACCCACAAGGCTCCCAGCAAGGATACTGGAGTGGATTGCCATTTCCTCCTCCAGGGATCTTCCTTACCCAGGGATCAAACCTGTGATTCTTCTGTCTCCTGCATTGGCAGGTGGGTTCTTGACCACTAGCACCACTGGGAGTTGAGTTTAGAGGGCTTAAAACTACTAGGAGAAATAAAAGATGTACTTAAACAACTGGCATATTTGGTAAAATGTGATAAATATCAGAGTTCTCCATATCCTACCGGCTGGGAAGATGAAAAGGCATTCTGCCATCCAGGTGGCCTTAAAAGCTGAGAGGGACTTTAATCCGGAGGCCAAGGAGAGTCACTGCTTTGGAGAACTAAGGACGGGCTTCCCTGGTCGTCCGCTGGATAAGAACCTGCCTGCCAATGCAGGGGATGCAGGTCTGGCCCCTGGTCCGAGAGGACCCCACATGCGGCAAGGCAGACAAGCCTGTGTCCACAGTTACTGAAGCCCGTGCGCCCTGGAGCCCGCACTCCGGAACAAGAGAGGCCGTCACGGTGAGAAGCCTGGCACCGCAACGAACAGCAGCCCCGCTCGCCGCCGCTGCGAATGACCACGCACGCAGTGAAGACCCAGCACAGCCACAGACAAATAACACTTTTTTAAAAAGAAAAGAAAATACAGAACTTCCCTGGTGGCCCAGTGGTTAAGACTCTTTGCTTCCACTAAAAGAGATGCAGGTTTGATCCCCCCTTGGGGAACTAAGATCCTACACACCCTGCAGCCAGGAAAAAAAAAAAGTGTGCAGGGACCCAGGATGGAGGGAGTTTGAATTCAGTTGGAAGCAAGAAGCCACTGGAAGGTTTTAAGAACCATCCTGATCTGGTACCAGGTTTCTAAAATACGTTAACATTTAAGACGCCCACAGGGTTAGTCAAGAAGTAGGAGACCTCAGTTTGCTAAACAGACCTTCTGTAACTATTTTCTGAAACAGTCTCTCCAAGCCTCCACTGAACATTCAGTCACCCTGGCCCTGCAAGTAGAACCATGGGGTGAAGTGTTTTTTCACGGGAGAAAGTACAGTGTAGACGCGCTGGGCCAGCTCCGAGCTGGCTGGGGAGCTCGGGAAGAGTGGGAAGACCTTGTTTGTGTATTTGTGGGTGTGGCGGGGCTCCTGGGACTGGATTTGGGGAAGACGCCATCAGAGGTGCCGACTGTGACCCCAAAGGAGGGCAGCCGCCCTTGCCGTTAGGCCTGAGCGGGGGTCTGCGGGGCACCCCCCCCCGCCCCGACTCACCAGTGACGTAGAAGGCCTTGTACCGCTCCAGGCGGACGGTCTGAAGCGCTCCGTCCTCTCCGGCAGCCCCGCTGTTGGGGTGGAACAGCACCTGGGGAGGGGGGACAGGGCCTCCTGGTGAAGCGCACGACCCCCTCCCTGGACAGCAGGAGTGTCCTTGTCATGGTGCCTGCTCCCCTCACCGCCGAGCGCACCCCGTCCCCGCCCCCCGCCCCACACACGGCAGCCCCTGGTCCACATGGCCTACTCCCTGGAGCCTAAGCGGGTGGCGCTTCTCCGGGTCAGTTCATCTGAGTGGGTTACAGGTCTGGCTGGATTCCAAGCCCAGAACTAGCTAGGTCATCTGCAGGGTCTGGTGCAAAATGAGGATGGAAGAAACCTTGTCCCCAAATCAAGAATTTCAACTGTCAGCACAAGGAATTATGTTCATTATCCTCTGATAAACCATAATACAAAAGAATATAAGAAATAATGGATACATACATATAACTGGGTCACTTTGCTATGCAGTAGAAATTAACACAGTGTTGTAACCAACTCTACTTAAGTACTTTTTTGTGATTTCATTTTTATTTCTCTATTTGCTTGCCCCAGGTCTCAGTTGGGGCATGTGGGATCTAGTTCCCCGACCAGGGATGGAACCTAGGCCCCTGCACTGGAGCAGAGTCTAAGCCACTGTTCCACCAGGGGAGTCCCCTAAAATAAAATTTTAAAAATAGCTATTTTATTTTACTTACTACCCTTGGCCCCCAAATTACAGTTTTCAAGATGCCAGGGCATGCCGGGGGCATGGGCTCGCTACCTGGGGCAGGGTTGTGGGGTGGGGGGCTAAATCCTACAGGCCACAGGGGTCCCCCGTACCCCCCCCAAAAAAAAGAAAAAAGAATCGCCCTCCAGAATGGAGTTCAGGGTTCCCAAGGGCAAAGTCTGGTAGGAAATAAATGACCAGCATCCTTGGAAAGCTGGGGGCTTTGGGCTGGAAGCGTGAGACCGTCCTGCTATGAATCATGACCGATACATATCGCTGGAAAGGCGCTTACGTGATTCAAAGTTTCCATGGAGCTAAAAAAAAATGAGAAACATCTGTTGGAGCAGTAAACAGCTGTCCCCCCCCCCAGTTTCCCGGCCCTGAGCGGGTGCCAGCGAGGGTAGGCCCCCCCCAACACCTGCCACTTCCGAGCTCTCGTGACAGCGCCCGCGATCCCGGCGGCGTGATGACAGCAGGCCCCGTCCAAACAGGAAGAGGATCATAACTCAGAACCCTCACCCCTTCCAGCCCAAGGAAGCCAAGCCTCTCACCGCAGGAGCCTGTGTTGTTTGCTTCTGGAGAGGTAAGGAAGCCAAGCCTCTCACCGCAGGAGGCTGTGTTGTTTGCTTCTGGAGAGGACAGGAAGTTGGGGGGGGGGGGCGCTTGGAAAACCTATTGTCAGCGGAGCTGCAACCTTACTCAGACACCCAGGAGATGGGAGCCCTGGTCTGTGGGTTAGAATCCTTGACACCGTGTGACTTTCAGTAACAGAATCTCCGCAAGGGCAGACAGTCTCAGGCAGGATGTTTACTCATGTTGCCAGGCACCGCTTCCGAAATCCAAGAGGAAGCAGAGTGGCTCACCCTCAGTCCGGTGGATGGGTTTGGAGAACTCTGTACGCGTACTTCTCTCCCCGCTGAGCCAACCGACGGTGGCGTTCTTGTTTATATCAACAAAGGAAGGAGGCTGGTGAATTTACACACGAATCACAGCTGGAGGCATTTCCTCCCCAGGGGACACGCAGTCCGAATTTCAAAGATAACTTTATCTTCTGCAAACATGTGCATCTTCTTGGTAGTTTTTCTTACCTGTTCGCTTTACTTGATCCTATCGCCGTTTTTCAAGCAGGAGGCATCTCCTTACTTTAAGCCCTGGAGGCCGGTGCCTAGGTGACATCCCCAGAAAGCCAGGAGGGGTCCCAGCCCTTCGGGTGGGGTCGCACAGACCCCCTTCTCCGAAAGTGGTCAGCCTTGTGCCAGCCGCTCTGGACAGTGTCTCTGACCACTAGGGGCCTCTCTTCTCCCTAAGAGAGGTGATCAGTGGTCCAGAGAGGCAGACTCAACTGCTTCGACGACGCATGGTCTCCAGGGATGGACTGGGCGTTGAGTGACCACACGGCCCCAGGTTGGTCGGGGCAGAGCAGGTGCAGACCTGCTATGGAAGCCTTCCGCTGGCTGACCATTCTGAGCCTTGGACGTGTCAGCCTGGGGCGGGGATAAGACGTGACCAGCCGTGACGCTGCCACCTCCGGCTTCCAGCCGGGAGCCAGGCAAGCCCCGAGTGGGACCTGCGTGCGCCCCTGCGTGCCCCCTCTCCCCGCGCCTCCCTTGCCCGCTGCGGCTACCCTCAGTGCTTGGACACAGACCCCCCCAGACTGCAGGGTGTGCGGGAACGCACAGCATAGTCAGCAGCCATGGTTTTGAACATCACAGACAAGACGGCCCTGGCTGTCCACGAGGTGAGTGGGGAGAAGACCGCTCCACAGGAAAACCGATAGCCCAGCACCTGCTCTCAGCGCGGGGCCCAAGGGGCGGTGCCAGGATGGGCAGGGCCAGGGTGCACGCGGCCCATTGCTTCAGCTCACCAACTTGCCGCCACCTGTTTGCAAAACGGAAGCACCCAACGGCTGAGGCGTTTTGCATAGTTTTGAGATGACAATCTAGGGGTTCCTTCGAGCTTCTTGAAACTGGAATGGTTTTCTAAACCAACCCACAACCCATACCAGAACCTCGTAAGCCCAGAATATAGTTGAGGGTGAACACTAAGTTGTGTTTATTAAAACATACATGTGTATGCTGTGGGAGCGAATGAATATATTCTGAGTATTAAGGAATGTTCCAGACAGGTGGAAATGTTTAAGTCTAACTTTTAAGGCTGTCATGTGCCACTGGGTGTCCCAGAATGTCTGATGCAGTGCCTTGCAGGTGATACGCAGTAACTGGTTACTGAATACGGAAACACACACATGTGCGTGTGCATGTCTGCACACACGTATGTGTGTGCACATCTCTATAATCACGCCTATGTTTCCCTCTGGGTCTTCCATCAGCAACTTCGAGAGGATTTACAGTTGTTTCTTCCGGGGCCGACTAGGAGAGACCAAGGTGGGCCCCGGGGTGAGAACCCTCCTGCCACCTCAGGAACTGAAAGAGATTCAGGTTCAGTCCCTGGGTCGGGAAGATCCCCTGGAGGAGGGCATGGCCGCCCACTCTAGCATTCTTGTCTGGAGAATTCCATGGACAGAGGCCATACTCCACGGGGTAGCAAAGAGTCAGACATGACTGAACCGACTTAGCACACACTCAGAAAATACCAAACTCAGGACCAGCGACAAGCGATGCTGACCTCTCAGGTGCCTTTACTAACACTGCAGGAGTCTAGGCCTTGGGGTGACCGGGCCGGGCCCACAGGAGACGCACCCTGAAAGTCCCTGCAGAGCTTCTGGTGAGTGGTAAGGTGTGGTTGTTCCCCTTGGGTCACGGGGAGGTGTCAGCTCCACTCCAGCTGTCTCCACCCATCACACATCCCCACAAAACCCCAAACGGCGCTGTGGCTTTTATCAGGCCGTCCTGCCGGGTCCCTGGGGCCCAGGTTAGTCACCGTGCAGCCCTGAAGAGGGGCCCCGTGAGTTTGCGGAAAGAGGCAGCCTGAGAAAGCAGGTCTCCGCCGGCTGTAGACGGAAGTTCCGCGCCCAGGAGCTGGCTCCCACCGGCGCTGGGACTGAGTTGAGGAGCCAACGTCCAAGCTTCCTGGTGACCTCAGTCGTCCTCCTGGACACTCAGGAGCATCTCTCTGCTGACGCAGTCAGCAACCCCCCAGGGCCACGTATCGCCAGCTCCCAGCGCAGGGGCAGGGAACCTTCAGGAACTGCCCCAGGACATTCGACTCACTTCCCTGTGACCCCCGGGAGGCCAGAAATAGACGCTTTGATGTGTGGGTCCCTAACTGGGAGGCCAGGCCCGGATCCCACCCGCCCCCTTCCCTCTTCCCACTTCCTCTTCCTTTTGGCAAAGTGAAACAGAGAGAGACAGCCACGAACGCTTCCGGGAACGCCCTGAGAGGGGCCTGGGGGCTGGAGGACTGTGTGCGCTGAGTACTCCAGGAGCCGGGAGAGGTCAGGGCCCCCCAGGACATCATCCATCCATCCACTCACTCATTCATCCATCCCGTTCAGTCATCCAGTCATTCACTCAGTTCTCATTTATTGCATGCTGGCCAGGTACCAGACCCCGTGTTAAGCGTACTGAGAATTCCACGATGAGATTCCTGCCCTTGTGAAGCTTTCGTTCTGGCGGGGTCAGTGGAGGGGGGAGGCAGGGAGCCCCATGATACACAATGCAGACACTGCTCACACATCCCATCCAGCTAAAAACTGTGCCTTCTGCCTATGTCATGTCAGAAAATTAAATGATGTTGAGAAAAAAAAGAAAAAACCATTTGTTACAGGGAATAAGTACCCATGGACGCCCGCCCTAGGCCAAACTGCTACATAGAAATCTGGGTGATGAACTGGACTGACTCAGGAAGCAGAGCAGGGAGTGGAAAGAGGCTCCTCTCAAAGGAGGCCCCCTCCCCAGGGTCTGACGCACTGGACCTCCAGCGGCCACTGATTCAGGAAGATCCCCTGGAGAAGGGACTGGCAACCCACTGCAGTGTCCTTGCGTGGAGAACCCCATGGACAGAGGAGCCTGGCTGCTGCCGCCCACGGGGTCGGAAAGAGTCAGACACGCCAGGAGCTCTGCTCCATCCTCTGCGACGGCCGAGCCGGGAAAGGCTCTGAAGAGGGGCTCTGCGACGGGACGGGTCAACGGACATGAGTTTGAGCAAACTCCGGGAGTTGGTGATGGACAGGGAGGCCTGGCGTGCCGCAGTCCGTGGGGTCGCAGAGTCGGACACGAGTGAGAGGCTCAACGGAACTGAACTGATGTGTATGTATAACTTTCACTTTGCCCTACAGCAGAAACGGACACATTCAACTCCAATAAAAATTAATTTTTACAAATAAATGAAAAGAGAACTATGGGGCTCTACTTGTCACCGCCTGGGCCTCCACCGCCCGCTGAGCGGGAGCAGCGTGTGACCAGCATCTGCAGGGGAATACTCACTTCATTTCCCTCCCTGGGTCTCACTTGTGTTTAGAATGCGGTCACGAGTGACACGTCCCGTCCCCTTTCATTCAGCCCGTTTATTCCTTTTACAAACTAGTCCATGTCTGGGGGCAGGAGGGGAGGTGCTCGGTCGGGCTGGACTCTTTCCGACCCCGTGGACTGTAGCCCACCAGGCTCCTCTGTCCATGGGATTCTCCAGGCAAGAATGCTGGAGTGGGTTGCCATTCCCTTCTCCAGGGGATCTTCCCGACCTAGGGATCGAACCTGGGTCTCCTGCATTGCAGACAGACGCGTTACTGCCTGAGCCACCAGGGAAGCCCTGCTTTGGAAGGGGGGGTCTTTGCCACTGAACTGCCAGGGAAGTCCCCCCTAACACTGTTGACTGTCTTCCTTCACCCTTGACCGTCATTTACATTATCTGCCTGAATCCAGGACGAATTTAGGTTTTCCAAACTAAGTCTAGTAAATTTTCAAGAGAGGCCCAGGCTTGCTTAGCNGGGGGGAGAGGGAGGGATTGGGGGAAGGGTGGGGGGAGGAGGCAGAGGGCACCCCAAACACGCGTGCAGAGACAGGAAGGGCAGCAGGCCCTCGTGGAGCACGGAGCAGTCCAGAAGCTGGTCCAGAGTTGGGGGGTGCGGGGAGGGAGGGGATGCGGGGGGAGGCTGCTTCCTAGAAGTGAGGACACGACCTCGGGGCAGGTGTGATCTGCAGGCAAGAAGTGAGAAGTGGGGGGCTCTGGCGGGTCAGTTTGGGTGCAGAGGCCTGAACTCTGGGTCTGGAGTGAGGCAGGGGCTGGCAGAAGCCCCTCTGAACTGTGAAGAAGCGGGAACCAGCCCAGGGCGTGGGGAGCACGCTCTTCAGCCTCTCTCAGTTGCCATCCTTCCCGCGTGGGATTCGCTCGAGTTACCCCCGGGGGAATCTAAGTGCCCCCCTTCTTGGCCCGGGTCCCGTGGAGGAGGCTGGAGAGGCTGCAGCTCCCCCAGCACCCCAGGTCCCCCCCGGAGACCAGCAGTTTCATCAGCACCTTCCAGGGAGCAGAGCGCACCCAGAACATCAGGAAAACCCGACACCAAAGCCCGCACGTCCGTGACCGAAGAGTGCAGCCCGGAGCGGGGTCGTCAGGACCACCCGCCCCCCCAGAGCCTGCTGCCAGACACAGCAATGGGGACCCGGTCTTGAAAGGGGAGACGTGGCTGGGCCTTGCCAGGGAGGGTGGCGCCTAGCCCACGGGACCCCCTCAAGGGCACTGCCTGCTTGTAGCTCCTTCCGGACCCTCTGCCTCGAGACAGCCGCACCCCCTGCATGCAGCGGCCTGCCTTTCTGATCTAGGAGAGAGCCGTGCCCCCTCACCCAGGGGACTATCCGCTTTCCTAGCAAAACAGACCCTTAGCTGTTTTCCACATGAGGTTATTTCACGTCCTTCCTGCCCCGATCGTCACTGTGGACTTGGCCCAGGAGCCCTCACAAGAGTGGTCCTCGGTTCTAGACAGAGATGGGGCTCCCAGCTCAGGTGCGAGAAGACCCATCCCTTTCTGCACACAACCCAGGGCGTCGCACTAGAGCTCTGACTCAACCAGCATGAGTCTCCTCCCAGGGGGCTCATGGAACTGCCAGGGGACGTTCCGGTCGTCACAGCTGGGGCTGGGGGAGCCGCTGGCATCTAGAGACCAGGGATTCTAGCAAACATCCTCAAACGCCTGGGACACCTTCCACCATAGAAAATGGTCCGGCCCAAAACGTCAGCAGCGCCAAGGTTGAGAAACCTCACTTCAGGGCTTTAGGGTCAGACCACGGGCACTTCCGGCGTGTGCTGCCAAGCCCTGCCCTCCCGAAGGGACATCAGCTCCAAAACAGCAGGAGCTTTCGGTCTGCTGCTGCTGCTGCTAAGTCACGTCAGTCGTGTCCGACTCTGGAGACCCCACAGATGGCAGCCCCTCGGGCTCCTCTGTCCCAGGGATTCTCCAGGCAAGAACACCGGAGTGGGCTGCCATTTCCTTCTCCATCGGTCTGATGAGCCTGTCCCAACATCCGGTCCCTGGAGCCATGCCTGATCCATACTGGGCACAACGATCCATCTTCAGTGAAGAATTTTATGATTTGGTTTTGGGCGTGGGGGATCCTAGCTCCCCAACCAGGGATCGAGCCTGCACCGCCTGCACTGGAAGGCAAAGGCTTAGCCACTGGTCGGCCAGGGAGGTCCCCAAGGTGGGCTTCCTTGGGGACACTCGCCAGCGAGCCTCTCAGTCAGCTGTCACCTCTGAAGCCTGAAACAATCAGCTCACGGATGCCGCTGCATTGTGGCACCGTGACTGACGGAAGGCACAGACGCCCTTCACAACTGACAACAGCATGCTTGGCTGCTGGTGACGTCACCCGCGAGGTGGCCAAGTTCCTTGTGCACGTCCAGCCCAGCACGTGAACCCCTGGCCTGACTGCAGTGAGTCAGGCCCAGAAAAAGCAGCCAGCCTGACGTCACAAACTCCAGCCCGCGTTGTTGTTCGCACCTGCTGGTCACCCCCGTCCCTGACGGTACTGGGCTGACCAGGGGCTCCTGGGGGCCCAGAGGCTGCGAGGGGCAGTGCCTGGACACCCGCTGCGCTGGCATCACAGCTGGTTACCCGTCTGTCCCCCCGGCTTCAGTCCCCCACCCCATCCCTCCCCTCAGGACGCGGGAGGACTCCAGTGAGACGTGCCCTCCTCCTCTGGGCTGTGTTCTCTAGCCCAGGACCCAACTGGTTGACAGCAAAGGACCTTTGGAACTAGAAAATTAGTCTTTAACCAGAACAAAGCCTCTGAGTGTGTGAGCAAGCACCTGGGCCCCCCTGCCCATGGGTACGGGGCAGCCACGAGGAGGACACCCCCCCAGTTAGGAGTCACGGCTGCGTGGTGTTGCGTTCAGGACGTTCACCGTGGCCAAGCCCTGTGCCCAGGACATGGCCTCCAGGTCAGCCTCGATAAGGAGATCAGCGTGATCTGAGATGTGATCATGTTGACAGTTGTCCTGCGAAGAAAGCAGGTGCTTCTTTGTAGAAGCTTTTTAGGCAGAGGCAGGAAGAAGGTCCTCAGCCAAGGATTCAGCCTCTCCTCCCCAGCCAGAGGGCCCCTCCTCCCCTCTCCTCTCCAGGGCACGTGAATGCCTAGACCCCTCTCTCAGGGCCATCGGTTCCGAGTGACCCACCTCGGACACCTGCCCTACCCCAAGTGGGGAGTCATTCGTGCACAGTGGTGTGTTCTCCCCCGCTCCCCACAGCCAGCTGGCGTGCGTGCATGCTAAGTCACTTCAGTCGTGTCCGACTCTTTGTGGCCCCATGGACCTTGGCCTGCCAGGCTCCTCTGTCCATGGGATTCTCCAGGCAAGAACACTGGAGTGGGTTGCCATGCCCTTCTCCTGACCCAGGGTTGGAACCCGGGTCTCCTGCATTGCAGGCAGACTCTTTCTCATCTGAGCCACCAAGGAAGCTTAGCCCAAGCGGTGATGATGCTCCTGCAGACGCCACTGCGAGCAGTGTTGACGGCCGTGCAGCCCACCCGGCGCCCTCTTCCCAGAGACGGTCTCCACGGAGCAGGGCTTGCAGAGCCCCCCGTGCTCCTGCCGTAAGGAGCTCACAGGCTGGCCTGCAGGCAGCTCCGCACGGCTGCGGTCTGAGGCTGGGAAGGCCCTGTGGACGCCTGCCCAGAGTCGGCGAGGGGGAGGTCTCCAGTCACCCGAGCACACGCCTTCTCCTTGCATCTCAAGGAAACTGCGGGGGGGGGTCGTACCTCAGCAGAGCTGCGCTGGTGACGTTGCCGGGGACCCTGCCGGGCCAGTAAGCCAGGGCCGGGACGCGGTGCCCCCCTTCCCAAGTGGTCTGCTTGGCGGGACTTCCTCCTGCAAGGCAAGGAGGCAATCGGTTCTCTGGGAGGAGCAATCCTTCCTGTCAGCAGTCCTTCCTCCCCGTCCTTCCTTACTGGGATGCTCTGAGCGCTCCCCGTAATTCCAGCAAAGGCCCGACTTCCCTTGGTAATCAGCCATTTTTATTCACCTAGTTAATCCCTTTCAGTGTGTGTGTGTGTGTTCAGTCGCTTAGTCGCGTCCGACTCTTGCAACCCCATGGACTGTAGCCTGCCAAGCTACTCGGTCCACGGGATTCTCCAGGCAAGAACACTGGAGTGGGTCGCCATTTCCTTCTCCAGGGGGACCTTCTCGACCCAGGGATCAAACCCACTGTCTCCTGCATTGGCAGGCAGATCCTTTACTCACTGAGCCACCTGGGGAGTCCAGTCTCCTTCAATACGTGCTTTTATTTTACTGGATAAAGGTGTAAACTGCTGCCTCTGTCCCTCTTTATGGAATCACGTCCCCTAATTCCCTCACTCCACTGATGACCGTCAGCTTGCCTGGCTTCTTCACTGACTGGCTTCCTGAGGACCTGCACACCATGACCCGGCAAACAGCCTGCACACTCAGACACAGTAGGCCTTCAACAAACACCTGTCAAATTAATGGATGAAGGAACGTGTCTTCCTACAGGTCATGTTGAGGATGGGAAATAAAATCATTTGACTAAAGGCAGAAAATCCCCCCAGCTATTTGATCTGGCATAGATTCTGTTGTATTTTCCCTTTGCCTCACTCCCCCCGCCACCCGCCGCTTTTGTCTGCCTTTATTTTTGAATGAATGAGTTGTTCCGATGTTGTGGAGACAGCATTCATAATAGCTCCGACCTCTTACCTCTCTTGGGGAGGTAAGAACAATCTATTTGCAATCTACGAATTTCCACTGGGTAATTAAGGGAATTCTTTATGTAACTACCAAGTCAAAAGTGACCAGCAGTGTAACGGTGACCAGCAGGCTGGAAGGGATGAGGTCATGCCTTATGGAAACATCCTGAATACACGTTGTGTTGAATTAACCATGACCATCCCCACCACTCCCACACACGCCCCGACTTCAGCCCAGCTGAGCCAGGAATTCCACACAGTTAGCGTGTCAGAGGCCTTCCAAGGCGAGGCTCTGTGTGCCTCACACAGGCCGCGGTCATGCAACGGCCTTATGTTTGGCTGGCGTGAACAGGGATGGGGGGAGAAGACCAGGCTGCCGGCATTCTGCAGCGCCCACCCCGCAGCGAAGGCAACCTTTGAAGTCCCTGGCGCAGCTCACAACACCGGAAATGCCCAGCATTCTTGGAATTTTCTCATAACCAGTTCTGGAGTCCCCCCAAGTGTTGAAGTAAGAAATAAAACACCCACCAACTCGCGTCCGTGTGGACGGTTCCTGTGTAGGGGTGTGGGGCTCTCGGAACCAAGTGGGCCTGGTGGGAAACTCTGTGGCCTGGCCCGGGATGTCTCGAGCACCTGGTTGCCATCCAGAGTCCTGCTGCCCAGAAGGACCCAGAGCGCCCTCCCATCATTCACGCACATGGAGCAGAGAATCCAGCGCTGCTGGGGCACTCCCACGTGGCTGCAGAATGCATGACTTATGCCTCTGCTCCGGGCCAAGAGCAGGGTGGGAGCGTCGCACGTGCGGGAGCCCTGCACACATTCATCCCCCACCCACCAGGGGCGTTTCCAGGGACGCTTGGGGAATAGGTGGGTGAGAACATGGAGTCCACTTATTTGCAAGTCCATGGAACACAGTATCCCGATGAACTTGCTTAGCCCCAGAAGCTAAGGAAAAGCGAAGGCTTCGATTCCAAGAAACCAGTCAGTGATTCTGCGGGTCAACCAGAAGGCCCAAACTGGGGGTGTGTGCAGTGATGGGACTATGGGCACCAGAGTCAGCAATGGAGTTGCATCTCTGCCTCCAAGATGTTTCCAGAGGGTACACTGGCCCCTGGGCTTCCCAGGTAGCACTAGTGGTAAAGAACCCTCCTGCCAATGCAAGAGGCATGGTTTCGGTTCCTGGGTGGGGAAGATCCCTGGGCGGAGGGCATGGCAGCCCTCTCCAGTATTCTTGCCTGGAGAATCCCATGGACTGAGGAGCCTGGCTACAGCGCATGGGGCAGCCAAGAGTCAGACTCGACAGCACACACACACACAGGCTGTAGTTAGTAAATCTGCTAACTGGTCCTCGCCACTAGGGGTTCTGCTCATTTGCCATAATCTTCTGTATTGTTCTTTTCAGACGATTAACTTCCCTTATTCTTTTTCAGAGAAAAATATGTCGATGTGTTTGCCTTATTTCAGCAAAGAGTTGAAAGCTGGAGCGGTGAGGAGGGATTTGGCCAGTGATGAAACATGTACAGGTCAACAGAGTGGACGGCCACCTGCAAAGACTGGGAATCGGCGGAAAGAGAGCAGAAGGCTGGCTGAGGGAGCCTGTTGGTGTGGGCATCTGCAGGGGTGGGGGGCAACCCCCCATCTATGTTTTGAAGACTGGCCGGCTGACACCTGTCTGTGCCCTGGCTTCTGGCTTTACCAGAAAGACACATTGATAAATTCCAGCCATGCCCACAAGCCTTGTACTTGAAAGGAATTTATCTCAAGAGCCCAGAGTGCAGGTAAGCAATTATAAATATATATATGTATTTATATACATACACACACCCCACATCTTCTCGCTCCAAATTCCAGTATCTAGTATCTCGTCAGCGTTGCTAGGGTGGACCGACTTTGAAAGGTCCAGCTGGCACTGCTGGTGGGCCCCCGGGGCTGATGCCTGATAGCCAAGCATCTGATGATGAGAAACACCTGGCGCTGTGTGCTGGGCTTTATCCGCACCAGCAAGTACGGAAACCCACGGTAGCCAGCCCCGGCCCCCTGACACTCTTCAGCGACACCTGCTCCTGCTAACGGGCCCTCAGCTTGTGTTTAACATGGGAGTAGTGGCACCAGTGTTAAAGGAGTTGCCTGCCGATGCAGGAGACGTAAGAGATGTGGGTTCGGTCCCCGGGTCGGGAAGATCCCCTGGAGGCGGGCCTGGCAACCCACTCCAGGGTCCTTGCCTGGAGAATCCCATGGACAGAGGAGCCTGGCGGGCTAGAGTCCATGGGGTCGCACAGAGCTGGAGATGACTGAAGCGACTTAGCAGACACACACTCGTAACAATAATTTCTCCAGTTAACTGAACCTGTTCCAAGTACCAAGTTAAGTGCACCCCTGAACTCTCCCATAATCCTTAGGGCACCTTTGTGAGCTGAGCACTGTTAGTCTTCATTTTTCAGATGCAGAAGTTGAAGCTCAGAGAGGTTAAGTCATTTGCCCAAAGTCACACAGCGAGGAAACAGTCAAGTCAGGATTTGAGTCCAAGGCTGACTACATGGCTGGCACCCTCAGTCATTAAGAACTTCTAGGACCTTCCAGGACTGTGATTCCCATCCCCATATGCAGACTCGAGTCACTAGGGGAGCTCTGAAGAAATACTCATTGCAACGTTCCTTTTCCCAAGGTTTTTGGTTTATTTGCCTTGGGTTGGGTTCCGGCCCCCGGGAAGGTTTTTTAAGGTTTTCTTGTTGGTTTCCGTTGGGGGGGGCCGTTTCCGGGGCGTTAGGGGGGGGGCCCGGTTCCTTTTTGAACTTAACCTTCGTGTGTGTCTATTGTGAGGTTTTTTGTGTGGTGTGCGTTTTTGGGCCGGGGAGCACAGGTGTGCTCTATTTTAGTGTGTGTGAGCAACAGTTGAGTCCAGCCCGTAAAGTAACATGTGCAGTTTTTAATTTCAAAAGCTCTTTGTTCATGGACAGCAACCTTCATCCTTGGACCAGTCGCAGTGGCATATCCAAAGCATCCGTTGAATTTGGCTTTCTGCTGAGAGACCACGTGCGACGGCCAGGAGAACGCATTTCGATTCACTTGTGGTTAGTTATGAGTCTAATTAAGGCCGAACCTCTTAGTTAAAGCAATAAATATTTAGCCTCAGCAACCAACACATAAACAGAAGCGTGATTCATGAGTGGCTTACTTCCTCCTCCCTGGCTGTGCGAGCAGAGACCGTTCCATGATGCATGGAGGAAGCACCACCTCGGTCCACGTTCAGACACACGGGCCGGTCCCAGCGAGGGGCCCTCCCAATGCCACGGCCCCTGAGTCAGAAGGGCAGGGCTGCTCACACAGAGGCTGGCAAGCCTCTCAGCACATGGAGCCACCAAGGACCCCTGGAGATGCTGGTTTTGTAAGTCTCGGGCGGGGCTGTCATTCCAGGCCTCTCTGACAGCAGTCTCTGGGGACCAGAGGCTGAGAAACAGCAGTAGGTTAACGGGAGAAGGCCTTCTGGTTGTGAGGCCTCGGGCGGTACGCAGGATCTGAACAGCCCCAGCAGGGATCTCCCACGGCCCCTGCATCGCAAGTGCAGGGTCTTAACTGCTGGACACCAGGGATGCCAGGCAGAAATCTTAACGTCCCTCTGTCTCCTCCTCCTCCTCAGGCGTGAAGGGGGAAAGTGACTGTACTGGTCTCATGGGACGCTGGAAAGCGGACGTCAGACAATGTATATAAAGTTCTGAGCAAGGCCCTCGGGCACCGTGCCTGCCACGGGAGTGCCCAACAAACGCGAGCCAGAGGAAAGCCAAACAAAACAAAGGCACGACAAAACCCCCTACGGACAGAAACCGGCAGAAGCTGCGTCCTGGCAGCTCGGGCACTGAGTTCAGGCCTCTGACAACGTGCTTTGGTGTGAAGCGGACTTTGCTTTTGAACTGAATCTGAATGTCGTTAGACAGGAGCCCTCTGTCCCACTGACCGAATCCCTAGTCCTGTCCACAACGGGCGACAACAAGCTGTGTTCATTTAAACTACCTGCGTGGCCCCTCGAGCCGCTCATATGAGTGTCTCAGGGCAGAAGTAGGAGCCCACATTCTGTAAACTTCTAAAGAAGCAGGCTTCGTTTCTAAATATAAATACGTGCCTTTGCCAAGGATGCCCGGAGCTCACACACTAGTTTTCTAGAAACACACG